ACATACTGCAGACAAAGGGATTTGTTAGTAAGTAGCAAAGGCTGTTTGAAGAAGGGTGTTCTTCCGTTCACTGCCCTCTCTCTCATTGATTTTGCAAAGTTTCAGAGCAGTCCGATGGAAGTCTGAGATGCTTCAGAGTAAGTAATAGCTCTGTAGGCTCCCTTAATCAACACTTGTCAGACTCCCGTGTGGTGCTAGGCAAGTACACCAGGCATGCTTTGATTAGGTGCTCACTAAGGAAGTGAAACTTAAATCAGTTCATCAGAAGAGGAACTTCACATTGTGCTATTTTGGATTCATGTCAGAGCCACTCCAAGCCCTTCATTTTATGATTTATTCTGATAAATTATCTTTATGATTAAACCAGTATCCTCCATCAAAAATGACAACAGCTATTCTTTGTGCTGACCAGTCTAAGTGATAGACCTCAAATTGACCATTTTATTCTGGACAGGCTTTTCAAACTCACTGTTGGGGACTAAATTAAAATAGCCCAAATTTCAGAGACCTGGAGCACTTATGGTTTAACTGTAGAGTTTAGTGGTAGCTACGAATGTTCAGCAGATTTTTAGCAACCCAATTTAAAAGCTTTTTCTTCTATGTACAAAATGCTATCTTTTACAGAATGAAAAATTACTGAAAATTGGGTTGTGTTGTTTGCACTTAGGCTGATATTCTCTTTACTTCAAGCTTGTGAATCATCCTGTCAGATACTGAGACACTTCCACAATTAGGGTACAGAATTACCAGCCAATTAAGTAAAATCTCAGTTTTGTTCTTTTTTTTTTTTTTAATGCCTAAAGGGAGTTATCCATGCAATATGAATTGCATCATCTAAATCATTTACAATGTAGGTCATTTGACTACTATTACAATTGCAGTGGGTAGTTATATCTATGAATCACTTTGTCAGAAATTGCTCTATTTCAGAAAATGTATTTGGAGCTCCAAGTGTAAGTTAAACCCACAGAACAGGAGTGTGATTATCATAGGAAGCCACAGTTTCCGAAGTGCACGCAGACCCGTTACATTCACTTTTATGTTCAATTTTTTATTAGCTAGTCTCCAAACACGATTTTATTTTAAAGCAAAATATCTAAGCATTGACGACTTTGAAATCTTACTCTTGGTATAGAGACAGTCTACAATGATATGGCATTATTAGAAAGATACAACGCCAAAAACATCGGAAGACAGAAATCTGTCTGGTGGAAGATGCTGTAAAGACCCCATTGAGACTCCTGGCCTTATACCTCTTCGTCACTCCACTCAGAGGGGCTGGGGTAGAAGCAGGTCACTTAAGCTTTATTAGCATCATAGGATCATAGGATAATTCATGCTGGAAGGGATCCCAGGAGGTCTCTAGTCGAACCTCCTGCTCAAAGTCGTTTGAGCCGTGAGGCCAGACCACCGCTAAAACTGTTGAAGGCGCTCTTTTGGGCAGCTCTAGTGAAGCAGTCCTCCATTATGTCAGAGACATTTGTTCACGGGGAGCCACCAAGACCTGTAAGACTTACTGATTGCGTCACTTTTCCACTTGGCTTTGAACTTACTCTTTGGCAGACTTGCTGTCAAATATTTTAGCTTCACTATTTAAAAGCTGTGCTTCTACCATGCAAACTTTCACTGACTTCACTCTGACCATGCATGACAGTAACTGCAAACCTCCGTTTGCAAAATCTGCAGGGTCAGGCCCAGTATTGAAACCACATATTTTCCTAAAAAGCCTTTGTTTGATAGATCTTGCTAGAGGAAAAACACCTGGAACTCTCTCCTTTTTATATGCACTCTCTCACTTGTCTTCATCTGAATCAACCTTTTCAGGCAGTATTCATATGCTTAGGTGAGTGCATAGGGAAAAAAGAAGGAGATTTTCTCATCCCAAATCTAAAATTATGATAAGAGAGGGTGTGTGCAGACAGGATGCACACAGCAAAGCTTGCTCCAAGCTGGCAAGCCCAAATCCCCCCATCCTTGTAAAGAACCTACCCAAGGCAGACGCCAAGCTGCAGTATGGCTGTCAGAGATCAAACTCAAATTTTAAAAGATTTTAAGTAGTCTATTTTAATAATAACCTTGAAGATAATCAGTGTAATATTTTAACTTTCCTTTTAGATTTTTTTTAATTTGCTTTAATCCCATAAGTGTGTACTCAGAATTTGTTCTCCTGACATGGTTAGTAATTTATGGCAAATTATACTATTATGTTCCGTATTTCCCAGCTGTAGTTCTTCAGAACTTAGCTAAACCATGTCACTTGGAAGATCTGCTTTCTTTCTGTAAAATCATGCTATGATTCTGAAACTGAGCAAGGATCTTGAAGCAGGCAACCTACAAAAGTCTGCCATACAGGCTAGAGGTCTCCATTTGGATTTAATGTCTCAGATCAGAAGGGCTTTTAGGCACATTAAACATATGCTCAGTGTAAGATTTGTATTTTATAGCCTTGTTAAATTAAGAGAAAAGGTCTTTTGGCTTCAGTAGGTCTGAGATGTCACCCTGTGGATAAACCAGTATGTAGCACACCATCTATGATACTGCACCTTCGGTTAATCCCCTTATCATGTGAAGCAGGTGCTTACAGGGGTTTCCCTGAAGTTGCTTAAATGCAGAGAGTCAGGTCCAGCTGAACAGGAAATATTACTAAAGCAGGGAAAAATTGCTTATCTGCTTTAAAAAACAGGGAGGGCTGAATGCTCATTTTCTGATCTAAGGACACTGTCATCAGCTTAAGGTGAGAAAACAGAGCATTTTTCAGCCTTAAAATGCTGGACTCAGCCCTGCAACAAAATGGATATTTTGCTGATCTGCTTAATGTGGGATGAGTTGATGGTGAAGCTTTTGGACCCAGCAGATCCAATGAAAGTGGATAACTCAGTCAATGAATTAGCAAAACAGCTGCACCTTCCTGCCAGTGTTGCAGGTTGCATCAATAAAGTGCTCCCGCTTCTACCTCACAGAAATTGAACAATGCTCCTTCACACTATTGCAGTGCTAAAGTTATAAAATAAAGAGTGAAACCAATGTTATACCTATATAGCTGAGCAATGCAAGTCTACAAAGGCTATTTCCTTTAATGAGACATTAAACATCATTTAGGCATAGTGGGCAAAAGCCATAACAAATGTGGGTAAATAAAGTAAACTAATGTAACCCTTCACTGCTAGATGCCTATGATGATATTCAAAATACGACTTTGGTGTCTGATGCGCAATTCAGGCAGAATTTAAGTGCATTGATCCACAAAAGTAAGGCAGAAAAACCTGGCTAACCTACTTCACATATATCCACATAATAGACTGGCCCTATGCAAGTAAGTTTGGCCTACAAAGAGCCCCAGCAGAATACAAACAAGACCTGAAGTGGATGCATGCCAAGTTAAGCTCTATTAGCTGGAGGTGAGACTGAGCTAATGCAGCGCTGACTCATGCTCCCCTGGATCAGAGCACAAGCTCATGTTTGCCTGAGATCCACTGTTAGTTATTCTCCAGCCACACATATTCTGGTAAAAACATTAACTTAGGTGCCTGCAGTTTTGCTACTGCACATAATTAGAGATGTTCTTGCTGGGCAAAGAGTGCAGGACCCCTTTCATTCATGCATTGCTTTTTATTCTACAGATTAGGGTTTTGCCACATCTCATTCACAGATGCCAAAACCCTCTATTAGATTTGGCTCTTCAGGACTTTCTAAACTCAATGCTTGAGTTGTAAATGGTTAGGATGCCGTCCATAATGAGTCAAAGACTGCAAAACTCCTCTGGAAGGAATGTCTTTCTTTTAATTAAAGGTGCTTCTCTAAATGCCATACATAGTCAAATCCCAAGCTGCCAGTCTGAAGTGAGACCAGACTACATTATTCATTGCAGCATGCACATTAGAAAGTGATGAGATGGCAATCAGGTGGTAATGCAGTGCATTAGTCTCAGTATCGCAGCCAGGGAAGAGGCTCACCTGGTAATTGCAATCTAGCATGTTGTTACGGTCGGTGATAGTATCGCTTAGAGAATCCCCAGGGAAAGCGTCGTTTTCACAAAGCGTACTGAGATTAGGCTGTGAAATAATTAGAAAAGCATGACTGGCTTTTCATTTCGTTTCACATCTATCTATCTTATTTGTTTGTGGTTTTCTGAGGAAACTACACTGACATTATTTAGTACCTCTTTCTTGTTAAAATTAGTCAAGTGAATCTTTGTTTTGAAAAGACCTTTTTTTAATTCAAGAAAGCTATTATGCAAGTTATTACTTTATTGACAGTGTATCTATTTTCAGTCGTAATGGAGTTTCTCATAGTATACAGTCAGTGTCAGTTGTTGTATTTAATTAGCATTTTTCTGTGTTAAATACCTTTAAAATCCATTTGATCAGTTCTATCCAAATGTAGAAAGAGGTTGAGATTTACTATGTTCAACACCTCCATCAATCATAAAGAATCATCCTGTTTGCCAGTATTTGTTTAAATATTTATATTACCCTAAATATTCCAAGTTACATTTCAGTTAAGAAACTCCCCTCCCATAACTTATTTTTATTCATATGGCATGAAACCAGATCAGATTGAAATTAAAATATAAAATTTGTGGCTTTGAAAAACCCTGACCAGTGAAGGATGCCCAGAAGCACATAACCCAAATGATAAAGTATGGGGCTTGATCTGAAAGCCGGCCATGAAGTCACTGTTATTCAGGGATCGA